ATATTGTGAGGGGATCTAAAAAAATGAGAAATGCACACCAAGTTATCTGATTAGGGAAAAAAAATCCACACCCTAATTAACAACATATATATGGTGCTTGATCTACAAAACAGAAAAATCCAATGACTTATTGTTCCTTCTTGAATTTATCTCAAGCTACAATCCAGCATATACAACTAGCTAGTATCTTCTTATAATTAAAATGGACAATATATAAACTTCCATTTACAATTCAATCATTCAATTTCTTTTAAAAATTGTAATCAATATAAAAGTATGATAATTGTAAACAATCATTCATATTTTTTATTATTGAAAAAAAAACTCTCATAATATCTCATGGACGCTCTTGGACCTTCCTCTAAACCACTATAAAACCTACACCAATCCCCTTTATTTTCTCCACACCCAATTCAGCCACAACATAGCTACTGAACAGTATCTTCTTAAACAAAAAATGGCTTCAAGAACCACAAGCTCCATAGCCCTTTTCTTGGCTCTCAGTCTCCTATTTTTCACAACAATCTCTGCCTGCGGTAGCTGCACTCCGTGCGGTGGAGGTTGCCCCGCTCCCAAGCCAAAGCCAACTCCTACACCTAAACCAACCCCAAGCCCTAGCTCTGGCAAAGGCAAGTGCCCTAAAGACACCCTCAAGCTCGGTGTCTGCGCCAACGTGCTCAATGGCCTCCTAGATTTGACCCTTGGCAAGCCACCGGTTGAGCCATGCTGCAGCCTCATCCAAGGACTCGCTGATGTTGAAGCAGCCGTTTGTCTCTGCACCGCTCTTAAGGCTAACATTCTTGGAATCAACTTGAACCTTCCAATCTCTCTAAGTCTGCTCCTCAATGTTTGCAACAAAAAAGTTCCTTCTGGCTTCCAATGCTAATAAACCATAGTCTTATGAAATTTAAACACAATTATGTGTATATTTATCTTCTTGTTTTGGACAGACAAGGTGATTCTATATGCTCTTATTATTGTGCCTTTTTATATCTTTTCGGCTTCTTCAAGTCTTTCTTGTTATGGTGTTCATTGGAGTCTAAGTATATCTCAAGTTCACAGTTTCATTATTTCCTATTACGCTTATTGGGG